AGCAGGCAGCTGTAGGATGATACAGTCACCTGTGTATAGTCAGCAGGCAGCTGTAGAATGATACAGTACCTGTGTATAGTCAGCAGGCAGCTGTAGGATGATACAGTACCTGTGTATAGTCAGCAGGCAGCTGTAGAATGATACAGTACCTGTGTATAGTCAGCAGGCAGCTGTAGAATGATACAGTACCTGTGTATAGTCAGCAGGCAGCTGTAGAATGATACAGTACCTGTGTATAGTCAGCAGGCAGCTGTAGAATGATACAGTACCTGTGTATAGTCAGCAGGCAGCTGTAGAATGATATAGTCACCTTTCTGTTGTCAACACCTGTAGGTTTATATATTCACATGTCACATGTAGGGTCACATGTGCACTGCCAGACACCTGGGTCATACCTGGAGGTCCTTTACTGTTGCTAACTGTGTTCAACAAACTGTTGCTTCGAGCGGCCCGCACGCCCACATGTCCGTGTCTAATTATTTTCTCAAAGAAGTCCACTTTTGTTCCGGTAATATTTCTTAAGTTTTTTGAGAGGTTATCGAAGAGGTTGTCGACCTCCTGGAGAACATATATGGGTTTAGTTTACCTCAATGGCTACTTGCCTACCTGTTCTGTTACCTCTGCCCCACCCTACCTCCCTACCTCGTGCCAACCTTTCCTCCCTCCCTCTCCAACCACTTGGGCTGGACGGTAGAGCGACGGTCTCGCTTCATGCAGGTCGGCGTTCAATCCCCGGCCGTCCAAGTGGTTGGGCACCATTCCTTCCCCCCCGTCCCATCCCAAATCCTTATCCTGACCCCCTTCCAAGAGCTATATAGTCGTAAATGGCTTGGCGCTTTCCCCCTGATAATTCCTTCTTTCCTCCCTCCCTCCTTTCCTACTTCATGGAATCCCTACCCCCTCTATTCCTACAACCTCTATCTCTCCCTCAGTACCCCCTGCAACCCTAGCACCTCCCTCTCTACCTTCTACAGTTCCTACCCTTCCATTTCCTTCCCTTCCCTCCCTGTTTCTCTACCTTCCACCTCACCCCCCTCCCTCTCAGCCTTGGAGCGGGATTTACGTCAATAGGATTTACGTGACGTGATTGTAGGTGTAATGACTGGGAATTCACGGAGACCTGCAGTTGCAACCCTGCATCTTGCAATAGCCACTCGCTAATTACCCAAAGGCGTGATCGATCGAATACTTGCAACACGGTAACAGGCAACAGGTGCCAACGGGGCCACGGAGCGCTGCTAATGCAGACAATGACTGCACAAAATGGTCGTCACTATAGCAAGCGAGAAGATAACGACACGTCAGTGGTCGAGGAAATGTAGTGTAATGATAGGTGGAATACCACACGGAATGAGGGCACGAGTTTTCTGTACAGAGATCAGGAGGCCACATTCCTCAGCTCTAGTAGCAAAAGCGTCGAGCAGAACTTGCATTCTAGGCTCGGTGGCAGCCTGTAAACATATATCATCAGCATAACAAATGACAGTGTCTTCATTATTACTTGGAAGATCTTTAATAAGTTTATGCATCAGAACGTTGAACAACAAGGGGCTGAGGACCCCTCCTTGTGGAGTTCCCAGTTCAAAGTGTTTGCTCTCTGTGCTTTTAACACCATTAAACAAAACATATGCTGTTCGATTAGACAAACAGCCCTGTATCCATTTCAGTAATTTTCCTTGTATTCCCAGCTCGGCAAGCTGTTCTAGTATGATTTCCCTGTTTGCTGTATCAAAAGCTGCTGCTAGGTCGATGAAGACTGTTTGAGGGGAAGCTTCAATATGTGCGAAGTACTCAGCAAAATAGTGTTGTGTACTGAGCCCAGGCATAAACCCAAACAGTTGGGGTGACAGGTGCCCCTGTATACGATACATGAGTCGGTTAAGAACAATACGTTCAAGCACTTTACAAACACACGATGTTAGAGATATGGGTCTATAATTATCTGAGTGTGGTTTGAGGATGGGAACAATGACACTCTTTGTCCAAGCATCAGGTAATACTCCTTCACGTAAACTCGTTCTGTACAACACTAATAGTGGATTACGTGGTACGTGTGAGACTAATCTCAGTAGACTGTAAGTAATACCATCCTCTCCAGGAGCAGTTGATTTTCCCATCTTTAGTGCATGATTTAATTCCCATTCAGTTACATCATTAAGGTCCGACACGTCGATAGCTGTACAGGCAAGACTGATGGTTCGTTGTCTGTTGGGGCGTGTGTCATTAAGTTTGTGCTGTATGTTAATTGTGAGTGAGTGGGAGGGGTGTATGAGCACTACAGAGCCAGCATACAGCCAGAGTCCCTTTCTCTCACGTATTTCACTCCCAAGTGACAATAACATATTATCCTCGCCACTTGCAACACAACAATATATGCAGTTAAGCACTTATGCGAGGCTATACGTCCGTTGCTCCTGTTAACACTTGAACCGTTATTGGCCATCAGTAGGCCTAGTTCTGCCACTCTAAAGAGTTCCTCTATGCTGCCACGATAAGCAGTTCCGCGGCTTGGTGAGTCCGCTCAGCCTGACCCCTTCCCCAGTGGGGTCAGGCCACACACCATTAGTGAGAGAGAACTTTTTGAGGTCAGGGAAGCACTAAGCTTTTCCAGGCTTGGCCGAGCATGGGAAGAACGCTTTTCCAGTCTTGGCCGAGCATGGGAACCACCAATCAGAAGTGCTCACCTTGACCTCCACATACCAAATGTTAACACCATTACCAACATGGCTGCTGAGTTCACTCCATTGTGTAGCTAGGAGATGCCTAGACCAATAAGGCGACAGCTAAGACAACTAGCCAATTACAGAGCAGCTTGCATGACAGGTGGGAGTAATTGGCACAAGTTTCAGGACAGCACTGAGATGTACGCACATGACCCCGCACTTGTCTCGTGTGACCTGACCTTGTACCTCTCTAGGCAGTTCCTAGAGTGATTAGCCCTCCTCCTGTAGTTACCTCCAAACTGCAGTACTCACTCTTACTGCTGATAATAACTTATCAACTCTGAATATCATGTATCTAGGTAGCAATTAAAGAAACTCTAAGGAGTAAGCGCCAACCCACTACGACTATATAGCACTGGGAAGGGGTCAGGATAAGAATTTGGGATGGGACGGAGGGAAAGGAATGGTGCCCCAACCACTTGGACGGTCGGGGATTGAACGCCGACCTGCATGACGCGAGACCGTCGCTCTACCGTCCAGCCCAAGTGGTTGGGGATGTAGCTGCTATTCTGTTCACTGTAGCACCCTCCATAATCTTCGTACGAAGGCACCGTAGCATCACTGGAATACTTGTGCCCTTGTGTATGCGAAGACAGCAAAAACGACTGTTTATTGTACAGTAAGGACTTTACTGGCTGAGGAATAAAGCGGTTAATGACCGTGAACATACAGTGACACTGAACATACAGTGACAGTGAACATACAGGGACAGTGAACATACAGGGACAGTGAACATACAGTGACAGTGAACATACAGTGACAGTGAACATACAGTGACAATGAACATACAGTGACAGTGAACATACAGTGACAGTGAACATACAGTGACAATGAACATACAGTGACAGTGAACATACAGTGACAGTGAACATACAGGGACAGTGAACATACAGTGACAGTGAACATACAGTGACAGTGAACATACAGTGACAGTGAATATACAGTGACAGTAAACATACAGTGACAGTGAACATACAGTGACAGTGAACATACAGTGACAATGAACATACAGTGACAATGAACATACAGTGACAGTGAACATACAGTGCACAGTGAACATACAGTGACAGTGAACATACAGTGACAATGAACATACAGTGCACAGTACGACGGAATCCACACAGTTCCCGTTGACGTCCATCGTTACACTGAAGGCACTGTGATTTCAGCACTCTCGCAGTAGGATTAACCAGTATTAAATAAGAGTGATTAAAGCAGGTTGTAATATAGAGGAAGACTAATCTCAGTCTGGGATTTATGCGAGAGATATAATTATACATAATGGAGATTTATTTGGATATCGGATTCAAATAAGCGGAAGATTAATGGCAAATTAAATTCCATAAGAATGAGTCACCTGGGGGATTTATCTCAAAGAATAAGTCACGCAACGTAGGGATTTATGCCGTTCTAAGTCAAAATAGTGGGGGAGGGGGGAGGGGGAGGGATTTATGCATAGTTATAAATCACACAATCATTGTGTTGCAAGGACATATGGTGCAATTATATGGTAATGAGGATTTACATTTGCAAAATATTTGTTTTACGAATCTGAAGATTTGTTCTGTATTTTACAAGGGCCGAGAATTTACTCCCATATTATATTGGAGGGAGTTAGAACCCCCCCCCCCCCCCATGACGTGTATAAAGGGGTTAGGCCCCATGATGGGTATATCAGGGTTGTGTATAAGACACTAGGAGACAACAGGGGACATCAGGGAACACCAGGAGACATCGGGAGACATCAGGGGACATCAGGAGACACTATGAAATACCAAGAGACACCAGGAGACACTAAGAGACATCAGGAGACATCAGGGGACATCGGAAGACACCAAGAGACACCAGGAGACATCAGGAGACAACAGGGGACATCAGGAGACATCAGGAAACAACAGGGAACATCAGGAGACAACAGGGGACACTAGGAGACACCAAGAGACACCAGGAGACACTAAGAGACATCAGGAGACATCACCAGACACCTGAGGACAGGAAGTCCTCACATCTAAGATGAAGACCTTAAGAATCGTATCCTCCGGAGCTGATGTGATTCACTTAGTCACTTTTTTAGAGAGAGAAGGGAGGGAGGGAAGGAGGTATCAGGAGAAGGGAGGGTAGTGGGTATGAGGGGTGGAAGGGTAGGAGGTATTAGGGGGTAGGGAGGGAAGGGAAGGGTAAGAGAGAGTGGGTAAAGCCGCCATGAGTTAATAACCATATACCCCCTCGTTACGGAGGGTTAATGTTACCTTCTAACAAGACCATTTTCCCCTACAGGATGAATGTGGTGCTGGCCCGCGCTCTCACCCGCGACTACGACCTGCCGGGGGGCGAGGGCGGCCCCTCGGCAGTGCCACCCCCGCCCACAGTGCCGCCCGCGCCCCCCACACTGCCGCCCTCATCAGTGCCAAGCCCGGCTGTGCCTTCCCTCACTCCCTCGCTCAAAGCCGGCTTCTCGGCTTCCACCTTCCACGTGGTCAATGTGCTCCTACACGCTGCCGTCACCGCCGCCTACGTGGGCGTGTTGCAGTGCGTCGGAGTAGGGGCGTGGGCGTGCCTTGGGGCCGGGTCACTCTTCGCCGCCCACCCCGTGCACGTGGAAGCCGTGGCGGGCGTGGTAGGACGGGCGGAGCTCCTAGCCGCCCTCGCCTTCTGCCTCGCCCTGGCCGCCTACATCAGGTATCTCCGTGGGCGTGCCACGGGGCGGGCGTGGGCGCGGAGACTCGGCAACTGCGGCCACGGGTGCGTGTGCTGGGAGGACAACCACGCCTCTAAAGCCCTCCCCTGCGCCACCATCTGCTGGGGCTCCAAGGGCAGATGGGCGGTGCCGTCGTGGGCGTGGCTGGTGCTGAGCGTGGCAGGCGCGGGCGTGGCCATGGCCTGCAAGGAGCAGGGCGTCACGGCCCTGGGAGTAGGTCTACTGCTGCAGGCCGCCGCTGTCCTCACTATCACGCCCAGGAATAAGGTGAGGATCACCATCCAGTGTCACTATCTACCACAGGATGAGTATGGGGTGCACAGTAATCTACCACATGATGAGTATGGGGTGCACAGTAATCTACCACATGATGAGTATAGGGTGCACAGTAATCTACCACATGATGAGTATGGGGTGCACAGTAATCTACCACATGATGAGTATGGGGTGAACAGTAATCTACCACATGATGAGTATGGGGTGTACAGTAATCTACCACATGATGAGTATGGGGTGCACAGTAATCTACCACATGATGAGTATGGGGTGTACAGTAATCTACCACAGGATGAGTATGGGGTGTACAGTAATCTACCACATGATGAGTATGGGGTGTACAGTAATCTACCACATGATGAGTATGGGGTGTACAGTAATCTACCACATAATTAGTATGGGGTGCACAATAAGCAGCTGTCATTTGTCTTTAACTGTCATGTTTCTGTAGCTGTCATATATATCTGTAGCTGTCATGTGTGTTTAGCTGTCACGTGTCTGTCACTATACTTGTCACGTGTCTGTCACTATACCTGTCACGTGTCTGTTCACTATACCTGTCACGTGTCTGTCACTATACCTGTCACGTGTCTGTCACTATACCTGTCACGTGTCTGTCACTATACCTATCACGTGTCTGTCACAATACCTGTCACGTGTCTGTCACTATACCTGTCACGTGTCTGTCACTATACCTGTCACGTGTCTGTCACTATACCTGTCACGTGTCTGTCACTATACCTGTCACGTGTCTGTCACTGTAGGTGTCACTATACCCTTGACGTGTCTGTTACAGTCTGTGGTGCAGGCGCTGGTGCGGGAGCTGTGGCCGGGTAGCGTGAGCACTCTGGCGCTGGTGTGGGCGCGTGTCAGCCTCGCCCCCCACACGCCCACCTTCACCCACGCCGACAACCCGGCCGCCCACGCCCCCTCGGTGCTGACCCGCGCCCTCAGCATCGCCCGAGGGTGGGCGGTGCACGGGCGGCTCCTGGTGTGGCCTGCCACCCTCTCCTTCGACTGGTCGATGGGCTCCGTGCCTCTGGTCACGTGCCTGAGCGACCCTGCCAACCTGGAGACTGCCGTGCTGCTGGCGTCCGTGGCGGCCGTGGCTGGCACGGCTGCCACGGCCTGCTGGAGGGCGCGCCACCACCTCACCCTCACCACAAAGATGTACACATATCACAGCCAGCACGCCTACCACGACGTGCTCAACAACAACGTGCAGCACGGCGACGTGCCGTACCCGGCGTACCCACTCCGCCGCCCGCCGTGCTGGCACCCGAGTCCCCTGGTGCTGGTGCTGGCGTGGGGCCTGCTCGTCCTGCCCTTCCTCCCGGCCTCCAACCTGGCCGCCTACGTGGGCTTCGTGGTGGCCGAGCGAGTGCTGTACCTCCCCTCCATGGGCGCCTGTCTCCTGGTGGCACTGGGGTGCCAGTCTCTCTGGCGCGCCACAACCACACCCAAATGGCATCGAACAGGTGAAACGAACCCTTAAAATTACCACCTGTCCTATGTATATATATTCACCACATAACTAACTTTACTAGACATTGCTAGATAAAGCCACTGTGTGATATAAGTGCGTGGTCATATCTGCTTTATTACCTCTTGTAGTTAACAGTGTGATCATTGTCTGCTCTCAGGCGAGTCACGCAGTAAAAGCAGAGTGTGCAGGAGTCGCGGGTGGCGTGCGGTGGTGGCGGGGGCGTGTGTGGGCCTCCTGCTCCTCCTGGCCGCCAGGACTGTCAGAAGAAACCAAGACTGGCAGAGCGACGAGGCCCTCTACCGCGCCGGTGTCACCGTCAATCCACCCAAGGGTGAGTGTTGCTGTCCTCTCCTATATACACTCACAGATATCTATACACACATACCTGGCTATGTATACACCTACCCGAGACTACATATGTTGGGTTTACATATAGTCATGCAGGGTCATGTGATCAGTAGCCTGGAGTGACAAATTTTGGGTGCATTATGAGGATGTCTTCAAGAACACGAGAGGTAGTAAAGTAATTGCAAAGGTCCAGGGACCTCATGCAGGGGTGTGTGAAGGGTCTAATAACTGGGCATTTGGTGATGTGGTGTGGGAGGACATGACCCTGTTCCTGCTTAAACAGTTTGCACCTGGAGTGATTAGGATTGGGAGATTCGTTACCTGTAGCCACCTGCTACAAGTAACGGTAGCCACTTGCTACAGGTAACGGTAGCCACCTGCCACAGGTAACGGTAGCCACCTGCAACAGGTAACGGTACCTGCCACAGGTAACGGTAGCCACCTGCCCCAGGTAACGGTAGCCACCTGCAACAGGTAACGGTAGCCACCTGCCACAGGTAACGGTAGCCACCTGCCACAGGTAACGGTAGGCACCTGCCACAGGTAACGGAAACCACCTGCCACAGGTAACGGTAGCCACCTACTACAAGTAACGGTAGCCACCTGTCACAGGTAACGGTAGCCACCTGCCCCAGGTAACGGTAGCCACCTGCAACAGGTAACGGTAGCCACCTGCCACAGGTAACGGTAGGCACCTGCCACAGGTAACGGTAGCCACCTGCCACAGGTAACGGTAGCCACCTGCCACAGGTAACCGTAACCACCTGCCACAGGTAACGGTAACCACCTGCCACAGGTAACGGTAACCACCTGCCACAGGTAACGGTAACCACCTGCCACAGGTAACGGTAACCACCTGCCACAGGTAACGGTAACCCAACCTGATCCTGGCAACCATGAAAACGCACCATTGGTTGTTTCAGTCGTGTTAGCAGAGTATTTACTATTTGTGTCTACAGAATCGAGCAATTAGCTCCTGGACTCCGCCTTTCTAACCAATCTATTTTTCCTTCCATCTGGGCCTACAGCCTTTGTCACATCCAACTTTAGTAAACACTTCCTTACTTCCCCGCTGGTAATCTCAAACTCTTCCAGTGGTTCCTGGTTAGCTATTCGCTCTCTTGTCTCTGGAATTTCTCTTTGCTCTAAGGTGAAGACCTCCTGGAATTTCTTATTCAGTTCCTCACACACTTCCTTGTCATTTGTAGTGAATCCTTCCGCCCCTATCCTAAATTTCATAACCTGTTCCTTTACTGTTGTTTTTCTCCTGATGTGGCTACGCAATAGTTTAGTCTTTGCCTTGCTTGCGATGTCATTTTCGTATTGTCTTTCTGCCTCTCTTCTCATCCTGACATATTCATTCCTGGCATTCTGGTATCTTTCTCTGCTCTCCAGTGTCCTGTTATTCCTATAGTTTCTCCATGCCCTTTTACTTTGCTGCTTAGCTAGCCTACATCTCTGAATAAACCATGGGTTTCTCATCATTTCTCTGTTTTCCTTTTGGACTGGGACAAACTTGTTTGCTGCGTCCTTGCACTTCTGCGTGATGTAATCCATCATATCTTGGGCCGTCTGTGTGTGTGTGTGTGTGTGTGTGTGTGTGTGTGTGTGTGTGTGTGTGTGTGTGTGTGTGTGTGTGTGTGTGTGTGTGTGTGTGTGTGTGTGTTGTGTGTGTGTGTGTACTCACCTAGTTGTGTTTGCGGGGGTTGAGCTCTGGCTCTTTGGTCCCGCCTCTCAACCGTCAATCAACAGGTGTGTGTGTGTGTGTGTGTGTGTGTGTGTGTGTGTGTGTGTGTGTGTGTGTGTGTGTGTGTGTGTGTGTGTGTGTGTGTGTATTGCCAAACCCACATACCATGTATTTTAACAATAAAACCATTCGTATCGGCTTTCCTCTTAAGTCTAAAAAAAAAACCGTTTTGGCTCTACAGCAAAGAGGGTTTCCACACGAAACCTCTCGCCAATAGTGCATATATATACTCCACCTTCTTTCACCTGGTGAGCTCTTGCTCGTGTCTGGCTACCAGTAAAGTGATGCCAAACAACACTGATGTATTTACCGAGTCGTAGTTATCTACACTGTACTTCCGGCACGTCTGTATGTACACACACCTCGAGAAGAGTGTTTTACCTTGTGTATTTGGTATACATTGTATTTTGTGGATAGGTGTGGTGCTCTCTGTAACGCCTTTGTATTGAGTAGATTTGACTGTATTGTTTTGGTATATATTTCTGATCGTGTACTTTTGTGTTGGGTGTAGCCTCTTCTGCTTCTGTTCCTTCATTCGTGACCCCCTTCCAGCACCTCCCTCCATCCCACCTACTCCCTCCATCCCACCGACTCTCCCTCCATCCCACCTACTCCCTCCATCCCACCTACTCCCTCCATCCCACCTACTCCCTCCATCCCACCGACTCTCCCTCCATCACCCTCCTACTCCTATTCTATTCTAATTATTGCCTGCCTTTGTTCGCCATCTGTGTGCGTCTTTACCCACATAGCAACTGCCTTGTCCGGTCAGTTGGCCTTCCCGGCGGCCCTTCCCATCCTTGTTGCCATCCCAGCCCCCATCTCGTCTATCCTTCCGCCCCCTCCTTCATCATCCCTCCCGTCTCCTCCATCCCCCCCCCCCCCTCCCCTCGCGTATAGCCAAACCAGGAGAGTGCCTGTTCAACTTGTCGTACCAACTTGGCGCACTGATCACTACTACCTCAATTATACGCTCTCTGCGCAGTGCTCAAGCTTAGTGTTAATTATACGCTCTCTGCGCAGTGCTCAAGCTTTGTGTTAATTATACGCTCTCTGCGCAGTGCTCAAGCTTTGTGTTAATTATACGCTCTCTGCACAGTGCTCAAGCTTTGTGTTAATTATACGCTCTCTGCGCAGTGCTCAAGCTTAGTGTTAATTATACGCTCTCTGCGCAGTGCTCAAGCTTTGTGTTAATTATACGCTCTCTGCGCAGTGCTCAAGCTTAGTGTTAATTATACGCTCTCTGCGCAGTGCTCAAGCTTTGTGTTAATTATACGCTCTCTGCGCAGTGCTCAAGCTTTGTGTTAATTATACGCTCTCTATTACTCCTGGAGTTCTTCTAAGTAACCGCTTAGATTACAACATCCTCCCTTTTATCTTATTTCAAAGTAAATTCATCCCTCCTTTTCAATAATTAGGAATCCACACACTGGGGTTTATGTTGCGATTGACTGGTCCTTTCCCGCAGTCAATTAGCGTCGTTACAGACACTCTCAGGATAGGTGGTGGCTGTGTTTAGGTCTCATTAGTGAGTTTGTTAGTAGCTGGAAGGTCCAGTGTCTTTGTTTTGTGGCGCTGAACTACAGGTTATAGTAAGATTAAGACGGTGTACGACAGAAACGTTAAATAATGGCCATCTAAACCAGGAATTGTAAGGTCGAGGCTGGTACCCGTTACAATGGTGGCAGCGGTGGGATTGATGGGTAGGGGTTGGGTGGGGATGGGTTGTGGCTGGGGGTGGGATTGGTGGGTAGAGGTTGGGTGGGGATGGGTTGTGGCTGGGGGTGGGAAGATGAGTAAGGGTTGGGTGGGAACGGTTTGTGTCCATTGTGTATCCATGAGAAAGACACATTTCCCCAATTTCTATAACTTCGAGACCACGCGTCGGATCCAGGTGAAATTTTAACGCACCTCGCGTCGCCATAAGTGATAACCAGAGAATAACTCCAAACATTATTCAACACAACCCTTGCAAAAATCTTCCACGCGTTTGTTGTTGGTACTCAGAATTACGCCAAGATATAAAATAATTTCTATGATCAATATGAATCCATACATATCCTCGCTTGTTTGATGACAGGCGTCCTCATCACCCTGACCCATTCATCCAATGAATGAATTCTGTTCCCTCTTGTTATCTGCGACTCACGTTCGGTGATTGACTAATAATAAGCCGAATTAACAAAGAACAATCTTACACATTGACTGTTAAGGAACATAACTTTGCACCAGATATCAACATTACCCAATTCACTCATAATAAGATTTGTTCAAACATTTAGGTCTCTAATAGCACCAGAAAACTTGACAAGTGAGCCGTTTGAGGCTATGATATTCCCCAGATGCTCTATAGTATTGTTTACCTCCTCTCTCACCCTCTCCACCTCCTCCCTCACTCCACCCCCCCACCAACCACTCTACCACCCCTGCCCCAACAACAATCCCCCCCACCAACCACTCTACCACCCCTGCCCCAACAACAACAACCCCTCCCCCCCCCACAACAGCCGGCAATATGGAGAGTGTTGACAGGCCCGACGGATGCAACTCTGTGCTTGTTATCGATAATGGAAACCAGACCTAACTCACACAAGGCCGGATGCTCGGGCCCGGAGGCGCAGGCGGGGAGCCTGCCACTTACGCCAGACGATGGGTGATGGGTGGTGATGGTGACGGGTGGTGATGGTGACGGGTGGTGATGGTGATGGGAGGTGATGGTGATGGGTAGTGATGGTGATGGGTAGTGATGGTGATGGGTAGTGATGGTGATGGGTAGTGATGGTGATGGGTGGTGATAGGTAATGAGGGTGATGGTGATGGGTGGTGATGGTGATAGGTAGTGAGGGTGATGGTGATGGGTGGTGATAGGTAGTGAGGGTGATGGTGATGGGTGGTGATGGTGATGGGTGGTGATAGGTAGTGAGGGTGATGGTGATGGGTGGTGATGGTGATGGGTGGTGATAGGTAGTGAGGGTGATGGTGATGGGTGGTGATGGTGATAGGTAGTGAGGGTGATGGTGACGGGTGGTGATGGTGATGTTTGGTGATGGTGATGGGTGGTGGTGATAGGTGGTGGTGGTGATGGGTGGTGATGGAGATGGGTGGTGATCTTAGGGGTAATGGGTGGTGATGGTGATGGGTGGTGATCTTAGGGGTGGTGATGATGGGTGGTGATGGTGATGGGTAGTGATGGTGATGGGTAGTGATGGTGATGGGTGGTGATGGTGATGGGTAGT